TTCCACTCAAACTGCCGCTCTGAACACAGACCTTAAGTGCATGGGATGATCCAAAGTATCATAGATTAAAAGCGTTCCCACCGGATACGCCCAACCTCAGAAGCAGTGGAATTTCATCAAGATGAAGGTTCAGCGACTCCCAACGCGGTGAACAACAACTGAGAGATTATTGGAGCTGATTGCTCAGTTAAAACTTGGTGACAGAAGTTTTCCTGAGTAGATTTGATTGTTTGGTTCTGCTCTTGAGGAAGCTGTTGGTGAAATGCTATTTCTCAAAGCTAGCCACCGCGTTGGGAGTCGCTGGAATCTTCATCTTGATGAAATTCTATTGCTTCTAAAAGTCGGGCGTATCTGGTGGGAACGCTTTTAATCTATAATACTTCGGATCATCCCATGCATTTAAGGACTGCATTCATAGTGGAAGTTTGAGTGCAAACGTTGAGCCTATTTGTATCTTACAATTTTTGTACCAAGTATATCCTGGTGGAATTCTCTGGAGGCGAGAGGGCTTGTGCCCACCAGTATCCTAGACAAGGCAGTGGGGCAAGAAAAACTGCCAGTGCATTCCTAAGCACTGGAGTCAGTGGGCACTTAGAAGGATGCAACCGTGCTGAGGGTTCCACCCTAACTCTCACCTGTTTAAGGTTCTCTCAGGGAGCAGCTGCTGTAGTTGGCCCCTTCACCCTCTGGCATTGCCAGAACCGCTGAGGATCTCTTTGTGTGTTAAGTTTTCGGGGGGGGGGCGGTCACACAGGCCAGATAACACGGGTGGGGGAGGCATGTCTGTTTGCCCTGGAGCAAAATAAAATGCAGTAGCCTGATCACACGGTCCCCTGAGTCTCCGTGCATCGGCTGTTAGCTGGTGATCACACAGCGATGCTGCAGCATGGCAAAGAAGTGGCACGGTGCGATCACACAAGCGTTTCGCATTTGTGCGCATGTGCAGTTCCGCGGAGCAGCACTGCTTTCGGTTTTGTATTTGTGCGCATGTGCTTACGACAAACATCTGGTTTGTGACGGGACGTGGACGGGCGCCGGATGCCACGGGATACTAGCACTCCTGTGATCAGACGCCCGCCTGTGCCATGCGTTTTCCGGATAACTCTGTCTTTGGCGGGACGCCATGGGTGTGCTATGCTCCCCAGATGTGTTGTGGTGTGATTGCGCCCTGAAAATCTGCCCGACATTCGTGCCTTTTGTGTGGCAAATTCTCCGTGTGACCAGGGCCGGTGTTTGGTTTGGTGGTAACTGCCTTGAGATCACTGCTGTTGTTCCAAAGCGCAAGTTGCTTCTTTGCAGAGAGCCACACCTGTCCTAACTGTCACACCCTTCTTGCGGCATGGAAAAGCTCAATAAAGCATTTCTGTTGCAGCCCAGCTTCTTAACTGCATCAGTTTTTCCCCTCCCTTATTCATAGTGTCATTGGTCTGGGGGAAAAAAACAAGGGAAAATTTAAAAACAGAACAGGAGAACAACAGCCGGAGAACAATCCTATGTGTATGGGAGGGGGAGAAACCCGATGCAGTTAAGAAGCCAAGCTGGAGCAAAAACCTGGTGCAGGAAGACTCGTCAGCATCCTCGTGGGTGGGCAGAATATATGTCTGGATATGGGGTTCACTTCCTATTCCCATTCTACAGATTGAAGTACAGGCTTCTGGCGTGGTGGGCTTCTCAGCATTGTAGCCTTTTATTTATGTGAGCATACTTGCCATTAAGGAGCTGCGGTGGCTCAAGTGGTTAAGACGCTGAACTGCAGGCTGTGGAAGGTCAGTAGTTCAGCAGTTCGAGACCCGGGTGCCGCATGGCGGAGTGAGCTCCCATCTCTAGTTCCACCTCCTGCCGACCTAGCAGTTTGAAAGCAAGAAATTGCAAGTAGATCAATAGGTACCACTTTGGTGGGTAGGTAACAGCGTTCCGTGCGCCTTGGTGTTTAATCATGCCGGCCACATGACCGCGGAAACGTCTTCGGACAGCGCTGGCTCTTCGGCTTTGAAACGGAGATGAGCACCGCAACCCTAGAGTCGGATTCGACTGGCTTTCGAGCAAGGGAACCTTTACCTTTACTTTACCCCCATGGACTGCATTCTCTTTCTGATCTATAATCCGCTTTGCCAAAATCACTGCCAAACCAAAGCCAGCCTTGCAAAGAAGTCCGCAAGAGATATTAGACAGCAGATTTTTTTTCCCTTCCCTTTCAGCCCTCACCTACCTGTGTTAGATGATTCTGGGTTTTGTGGGTTTTTTAACCCTTCCTCTGTCAAGTTTTTCTACTTGGTCACCTGGTGGCAATCATTCACCACAGCCGATCAGGCAAGTGGACTTTGTGCCACACAACCAGTGGTTTTTCCCCGTGGCAAAATTGCTCCATTCTCACAAGCCATGGTCCACGTATAACAATCACTTCTAATGTGGCCGTATGCAGCTGTGTTTGTATAAAAGAGAATTCGGGCAGAGAAACAGCATAGAAAGAAACTTAGAACATGTTAAAAAGACAAAGAAAGCCAGTGGAAAATGGGGCTTCTTGCATGAGATCCAGCATTTGCAGGGGAAAGGTACAGGCAGAGGCCAGTGCAGTCATCATTCGATTCCCAGTGGTTGAATCCAGAATTCACTGGCACATTTCTTAAAAGAGCAGAGCTGAGTAAATAGCTAGCCATATCTGCTAGCAGTTCAAGAAATAACCACACAGTGCACCAAAGTGCACTGTGTGGTTATTTCTTGAACTGCCAGCAGATATGGCTAGCTATTTACTCAGCTCTGCTCTTTTAAGGCTCTTGAACTGTAATGTGTGTTTTGTTAAATGCCATCACGTCACTTATGGCGACCTTATGAATCAGTGTCCTCCAAAATGTCCTGCTCAGGTCTTGCAAACTGAGGGCCTTTGTGGCTTCCTCGATCCATCCCATGTTGGGCCTTCCTCTTTTCCTGCTGCCTTCAGCTTTTCCTAGCATGATTGTCTTTTCCAGTGACTCTTGTCTTCTCATAATGTAACCAAAGTACGAAAGCCTCAGTTCAAGTCACTTTAGCTCCTGGGGCGAGTTCAGTCTTGATCTGGCCCTTCTTTGTCTTTTTGGCAGTCTGCAGTATCCACAAAGCACTCCTCCAACACCGCATTTCAAACTAATCAACTTTCGTCCTGTAATATACTTTGGGACAAAGAACTGCACGCTGGCAATGAGGAGTTTTCCACACACGCACACACAGTCTCTTACTCCATTTCAGGTGTCATAGGAATGCGTGTGTGTGGCAGAGAATTTGGATATTTCACAGGCATTGCGGACTGAATGTTCCACTACCTGTGAGGTGAAAGCAGCCATTGGAAAAAGGCCAGCACACTGCTAATTAGGCATTCCTTTGTATTGATTTAGTCATACCCACTGCATTGCTGTGTTGCCATTTTAATTAAATACACGGGGAGTGCTGGTGCTGTTCAAAGGTGGCCAATCCCTGCTCTGGAAGACCTTCTGTTCTGGATCCAGCAGTCAAGATGCCAGTGTAGGCAGGGAAGTATTGGGTTAAATGTAAAAAAAATAAAATAATAATTTGACTTGGAAGCACAGAAACCTTATGCAGTGTCCCCAATCCTCCACGTTTCCCAGTTAAGGGGAAAATGCTGTTCAAACAATTTACAAAGACGATCTGACTCCAATGGTAACAAGAAAAAGAAATTTTACTTACAAAAATAGAAGCACATCTTACATGACGTATTCATATAGGTACATTTAACTTATTGTGAACAGATTAACTTCAAAAAGGTTAACTGGCTACAGCTTCAAGCCCTGGTAAGAGAGAGAAGAGGAGAGGTCCCATATAAGATGAAACAGGGCCTGTGTCACTTAGAGGAGGGCAGGGAGCTGTTCCTGTTGGCAGCAGAGGATAAGACTCACAATAATGGGTTTAAATTAAGGGCAGGAATGTACCAGCTGGATATTAGGGAAAACTTTTTTACAGTGAGAGTTGTGCCACAGTGGAATCAGCTGCCCGGGGAGGTGGTGAGCTCCCCCTCACTTGCCGTCTTCAAGCAGCGGCTGGACAAACACTTGTCAGGGATGTTTTGGGCTGGTCCTGCATTGAGCAGGGGGTTGGACTAGATGGCCTGTATGGCCCCTTCCAACTCTTTGCTTCTGTGAAAAGGCAAGCAACAGCCAAAGAACAGAGAAGAAGAGAGGTCCCATCTAAGATGAAAACAGGGGTCACTTCGTAGAAAAAGAGGTGCAGGAGCTCATTAGCATAATGCATTAGCATAACTTATTTGCATATGCCACGCCCCCTGACATCACCGGAAGTGTGTCAGAAGGCAACACCCACCGCTCGGGCTCCACTGGACTGTTTTGGATTGCTAGCTATTGGGGGGGACGGACGTGCAGATCTGTCCTTGCAGAGGAGGGAGAGCTTGTACCTGAATAAAACTTGGGTCTTAAAGGTGCCACTGGACTGTTTTGGCCTGGGGGCCGGGGCAGGGGTCTCTGCAACTTACCTGGCTGCTTCTTGCTGTGACTGAGGGCTGCTGGGAGCAGGGGGTGGGGGCTTGTTGCATGTGCCTGCCCCCTGGGCTCTTTACTGCCGGAGCTCCGCTCCTGTGCGCTCCTGCAGGAAATTACCCCTGGATGAAACTCAGAAGACGAAGCAGCAGCCAAAGAGGCTCAGCATCCAAGAGGAGAGGAGGGCGGGGCCAACTGCCAAGGGTACCTGAGTGAGAGAACTCTCCTTAACCCTTCCCCCCCCGCCCGCCCGGTATCCTCGTGTATGCAGAGTTCCAACAACACCCAACAGGAAAGGAAAAGTGCTGTTATCTGGAACAGCAGAGATGGCTTCAGGAAGGTTTTAATGCTAGCCGGGTATGCAGAATAAGTGCAGGGCGGGACAGAGATCATTGGAAGATGGGGTTTTGAGGGCGAGGATTTAGGGGTGTTGGAAGGGCAGCGTGTTGGATTGTAGCTGTGAGAAAGCCCTCCTCCATTAATGACCGTAACCTGTGCATTATGTGCCTCTAACCTTAGGTGACGCTGGACATGGTCCAGTTTGACAACATTGCGGTGAGGAGGGTCCTGCAGAGCAACGAGGAGCTGGTGAGGACATTCAACGTCACCACCTTCCCTTCCGGCTTCCTGCTTTTCAGCAACGGCTCTTGCAATATTATCCCTGTGTGAGTTGACATGATATCCATCCATCCTACCTACCTACCTAACCCTTGGCTATTTTTATACAGTTGTGTTCTAGGGTGCATCAATAGCCTGTGTTCCTGCAATGCTTCTTTTTAGCACCCCCCCCCCCCAAGATGAGCACTTGTTTATTCCCGTGGTGGAAACTGTGCTCCGGTGATCATGGTTCATCAAATGGCTCATCCAGAGCAATCTACCAAGCGTGTCTCGTCATGAACCAGCTTCTTGTTTCAGCATGCAAAGCACTCGGAGAGACCCCTGAGATGGGGTGCTTTTTGTGCCTTAGTTCAGTGTTCTGGAGCGTTCGGATCTGGAATAATAAATGGAATCGCCTAAGCACAGCCCCAGTCTCTGTGGGTTCGCACTGAATTGAACTGAACCGAATTCCGTCACCTGAATAAGACAACATTCTGCAATCAGAATCAGTTTTTCATGTTGGGAAATTTGCATACGTGTAATTGACAGCTGGAGAGTTGCTGCCTACAAAATGCAACTGTCTATTGTTGAACCAAGTTTGAGTCCAGTGGGGCACCTTTGAGACCCACAAAGTTTTATTCGCGGTATAAGCTTTTGTGTGGACGCGCACTTCTTCAGATATGGTGGAACAGAAGCCCCTCAATCATTACGCGTAGGGAGTGGGAGTTGTTGTCAGGAAGGGCCACTTAGAGTCAAGATGCATAAATACTGGGTGATTATAGCTGAGACGGGATGCAAGGGAGATCTGTGAAGGGCAGTAAGTTAGCATACAAACACAAGGGTTAACAAACAGCTGTGGGGATGAGGTAAGTAAAGAGCAGTGCAGGCTGTTACTTGTGAGCCTGTCAGACAGGCAGGTTGGGGCCCTTGGCAGCTACAGATGCCCAAGCCTTGGCTGTGTTATTTCAAGTGATAAGCTAGCTGAGGGAATCATACTCTTTGCATTGGCTGGGAGACAGGGGAAACCAGACAGAGATTTGGGGGGGGGTGCGGAATGAGGACAGCTGCAGTGGATGATTGCCCTGGCTGCATTTCCCCCACCTGGATCACAGTACAGATGACAGAACGCCAACAGTGAGAATGAAGAGGAGGAGGAGAACATTGGGTTCATACCCCACCCTTCACTGCCCGAAGGAGTCTCAGAGCGGCTGACAAACTCCTTTCCCTTCCTCTCCCCACAACAGACACCCTGTGAGGTAAAAGAAGAAGAAGAAGAGATTGGATTTATGCCTCGCCCTTCACCACCCAAAGGTGTCTCAGAGTGGCTTACAAACTCCTTTCCTTTCCTCTCCCCACAACAGACACCCTGTGAGGGAGGTGGGGCTGAGAAAGCTCTGACAGAAACTGCTCTTTTTCAAGAACAGCTCTTATCAGAACTACAGCTTGCCCAAGGCCATCCAGCCAGGTGCAAGCGGAGGAGTGGGGAATCAAACCCGGTTCTCCCAGATTAGAGTCTGCAGACTTAACCACTACACCAAAGAGTGTCTGGTCACTGCGTGAATGGGAAAGGGCACATTTTCAGACCTCCTTCTCCATACTGCCGCCATTTCTGTGCCTACTCCTTTGCCATATGCAAATAAGAGGAAGAAGAAGAAGAAGAGATTGGATTTATACCCTGCCCTTCACTACCCAAAGGTGTCTCAGAGTGGCTTACAAACTCCTTTCCCTTCCCCTCC